CTGTAGAAATGGATTTTAGGAGAAGGTGTATAAAGTTAACGAGGCTGGATAGAGTCCGAAATGAAGTGGTGAGACAGAGAATAGGTGTATAGGAGACCGTCTCTGAGAGGATCGGGAAATGGCGGTAGAGGTGGTATGGGCACAGCAGGAGAATGCCAAAAGAGGGGCTACCAGTCCATGACTCTGTTAGGCCAATGCAGCAACTCGAAAAGCGTAGGCGAGGACGATCAAGAACCAACTGGATGGAAGAAGAACGAGAGATGACCGGCCTAGATCTACAAGAGGGAGGCTGAGAGGATAGAGAGATGTGTTGACATGAAGAGGTATCCCACGTTGGAATACCGGAAATGAAGAAAAAGAAAAAAACATATATATTATCCTAAACCAGTGGAAATATTATCATAAAAATAAGGAGTGTAGTTTATAATAATAATAAATATTAAATAAATAATAAATTTTTAAAACATTGTAAATTACTTAAGGTATAAGTTTTATGTTGAAATGCAATAGTCTTACCATTACTGGTCTCGACCAATATATTTTTCAAATATTTAACTTATAGATTATAGATTAATAAATATAAAATAAGTGAAAGTTCTTCATTTTAGTATAACTTACATCTTCTATAACTACGTGTATTGTGAAGTCATATCAATATGCTAATCATGTTAGGACAGAATAGAATTCTTCTTAAACGTCGTATTTATCTTTTGCACAACTTTTTTTTATTAGAGCTGTCTTCAGTTCAGATAATAAAGAGGTATGATGGGTATCCGCAAATTGAGGTCGAAAATCCCCTCTTTTCATAATAATACTTGTTTAAAAAAAAATGAAAAATATGTGGCTAATATAAAAGACCTAACAGCCGTTTGACGAATCAAACATGTAATCAAGCGTTTCAGTTTTGAGTTATAGGCGATGCGTGCCCCGAACGGCAAACTATACTTATCCAGAATATATAAAAAGTTTTAATTTCATCTCTATAATGGTGGTATACAGTCGTGGCGTGCCGGTAATGAACCACTGGTCCTAAACGATGGACCCTCAGGCGGTGGTAGCTCTGTGTCGTCTATTACTGTTTTGGTGGATGGCGTGACGCGTCTTCAACTGTACCCCCGGACCTGCGAAGGCTTCACTCTATGCCTTGCAAGAACAGGATAGAAGGGGTATATCCTGCAAGGAGTATAGAAGAAAATTAGATAGTTAACTTAAGATGAGGACATACTCCTCGCAGGTATGCAGTTTAGCTAAAAGGACCCATTATAAAACCTTCAAACTTTCCAACCAAAAAAATTACGATTAAAAACTAAATCATTTGGTACTTAACTTATAAAATATTAATAATAACTAGTAGGCCCGTGCGAAAAATTCGCACAGCATATTGTTATCTGATCAAATGTCAAATTAATAATAAAATAAAATAATGCAACGTATCAAAAGATAAAGAAATCAATTGTTACTTAATCGATAAATATAATCGACAAAGGAAACAAAAATTAATATAAAACTTCATTAATGTTTCGAATAAATATGTTTACAAATTTCAATAAGCGTTATCTTTGCTAAAATTGGTCCGATTTCGATGATTTTTTTTTCAATCATGGGTATAACCTTAACCCAGGAAAAGTGTGTAAGTTTTTAGTTATTCACAAATAAAATTTCTTTACTTTCATAACTGGTTTGCATGAATTTTCGAGGAGATTGGAATATTTTTCCCACCTGAAGAAGAAGGAAGCCTTCGAAATTGGTGGCTCAATTTTGAGATTTGGTGAAGAATTAGCGATGATATGACTTGGCGATCAAAAACACCATAGATAAATAATATAAACTCCTCCTCTCTCGATCATGTTGACGAAATGAGACATGTATTCAATGGCAGTACTACAATTAACGTAAGGTTGTGTGGATGCGAACCCTATGCCTTGTGTTACCTCGAAAATAGTATGTTTTGGGGCTTAAAAACTGAGGACCCGATAGTTCCTTCAGAACTATCCGGGTTTTGGCTGTACGCAACAAAATATTCAAAACCCAATTTGTCCCTTATCGATCTACAGACTTACCACCGTTCCAGTATTGAAGCCTAGCAAAACGTTTGTATCGAGTTTATTTATATTATATTTGGTACAAAACTGGTCTCGAGCCTTACTGTAATAATATATGTGGGGATATTTTAATAAAAAAATTATTTTTAAATAAATATTTTAATAATAATAAAATATCGATTGTAAAGAATCTTTTACAAAATAAAACATAATATATTTGCATAATACAAGTTAATATATATTATACATAGCTCACCAAAGGTCCAACTTTCTAAAAGCTCTTTTACCTCTTTTTTTCGTTTTTTCGGATGATTTCTCTAACGATGTCCGTGGGCTTCTTGGTCCATGCTGGACTAGATTACGTCTTGGTTATTTAGGAAGAATAATTTCTGAACCTCTTGGTGAAGCCAAGAATTGTTTCCGAAATAAAATTATTTGTGATCCCTTTTAATGTATTATTAAAATTAAGACAAAACAATAATATAAAAACAGCAATCGACGTTTGACAAAAAGTTGAGATATTTCACTACCCTCTCCGATGCTCCGATGACATCACATACTATAAAAAAATTGACTCTCGACAGGAAATAGGCAGCTAAGAATAATATGAAGATTCAAAAATAAAATACATAATATGAACTTAAGATATATATACATATATATATGTATACGCACATATTTTTTTCTTTTATCTTACACCTAAAATTAAAAACCACTTTCGGGCAGCTGCTACTGTTCTGTTCATTTTGGTTCACCTTTGGTCTCCAACTGCCCGAAGATGTTGACCTTGTTCAACAACTTGTACCTTCGACAGCTGCCCTTTTGCCATCAACATTCATAGATCCACCAGCAGCCCCTTGGAATATATATCATTGTGACATCATGTAAAAGAAAAGACTTTTTAGTTTTGTTTCATTAATATCTAGTGGATTTAGGCGCTCGCGTTCTGATTTTAATTGCTGGAGGGTACTGATAATTTCAAAATCCACTTTTTCCACTCGATGAGACTTTGAGAAGGAGTCAACTAGATTATCGTTCAAAATGAATTAAATACTATGTATAATAACAGATATATTTATAATTAATGGACTAGTAATGATTTTATAAATTTAAATAAAAAATCATTTCTAAGATGAAAGAAGATAAAGAGAGAGGTTTAAGGTCTTCCCATAGGGCTTCGTCACTATATCTGGATTGCAACATCATCTTTTATATATGTATATATTTTGTGAATTAAAATCGAAAAGGTAAGGTTAAACCTTTGCCTAGCAGATCCAATATAACTTCCTCTCCATTTCTATTCCGTATAGAGGGTGGCTTGTATAAGTCGTTCCTCAAACTACACTTCAACGTTCAGTTAAAAAGGAATAATTTTATGAAACATAATCCTTGCAGCATAATTGGATAGCAGATACCAATTTGATGTTTCTTTTTATGATAAAAATTGATTTCAAAACGCGTTAAAGTATTGATTTAGAATCGGATAAGTAAAGGAGGTAATGGGACTGTTTCAATTTGTAATAACGTTACCTTTATTGAAACGCCTCTGCAATTATATTGGCTGAAAGAAATCCTTTTTCATTATGTTTCATAAAGATATTGCTTTTTTATGGGACGTTCAAACGGTTCTTTACAGTTAAATTTCTCTGATTTGTTGCTTAGGAGTAAAATCTACAAGAGAAGCCGTTTTTGAAGTATGGCCTTGTTAAAGAAAAATACGTCTTAGTGAATGAAGTAGATGAAATTTGATAAAAATTTATATTGACCCTTGTGATTTATGAAAATCGTTAATGACAGCTGATGTTGTGATCAGTTAAACCAAAAATTAAACCTCACATAACATTACAATATATTTTCTGTTTGCTACATTTCGCCGAAATTATATTTTTGCCTATTGAATATATTAATTTTAATTGTTAAATGGAATTTGATACAAATGGTGCTTGAACTATTGAACCAAAGTTTCTTTACGTAGAGATGGCGTTAATGATTACCTACATATTTTTAAAATGTTATTATTTTGTCTTAGTAATTATTTGTTAACTAGTGTTCTACTCTTATTTATATTGTATGGCTGTCACTATAAAAGTTCATTACAAGAGTTAAATTTAATTACTAGTTTATCAAATCAAAATGCTTCAAATTTGGGTTGATGCGAATGAAGTATTTTTTATATATAGGGTTATCAAGGAGAAAGGTCGCGCAACAATTGCATAAGTATTTGATGAAATTAGTGAATGTAATTTGATAAAATTGGTGCCTAATCGCCCATTTTTCCAGCCAATAATCAAATTTCTTCCAACTTTGGGCCAAATCAATGGTTTTGGAGTAATATATGTACCTAGAGAAATGATTTAGTAGTGAATAAGTAGTAATGGATGGAAGTCGATAAAATCATTTCAGCATTATTTTTGTACTAATTTACATCTTTTAACAGTATTAATTTACATCTTTTACATAACAGGCAAGGCACGAAATCCTGCTGTCTGAAACGACGAAAACTACTATAAAATTTAGATTCTTGAGATAAAAATGTGTGTAACTTCTAGCACGACTACAAATATTTCCTACCGTTAGAGATCGGAAATGAGTAAGAAACAAAAAAAAATATATATATATATATATATATATATATATGATTTGTAATAATAAACAATTTTGATTACTATTTGTAAAGAATTTGTAGAATCAATATACTTTTGCATTTATCTCTTCTAATTTTTATTCGGAGTTTAGTTAGGTTACCCCATCCTGCAAAATTACAGTAAGATCTCTATATTAATAAGCTAATTGGTAGCTATAAGACTGTAGTGAGACTCTTGCGCAAGACCAAGACTCCTCTTGGTCTCACATTTGGACAACACTGCACTCGGGCCGCTCCCTACTTGGGTGCAACAAGCTTTGGTTATTTTATTTATAAAATAAATAATGTCGTATATAACTATTTATTGAACATCTGTTTTCTCCAAATGTACTCGTAATTCACTTAACAAAAACAATGTTGCTATAGATATTTAAAAAAATGAAAGATTAAAAAAAATTCACTAGATTTAAAACTAAAATGGAAATCTGTATTTTATGGATGGCTAAATCAGTGAAGACACACGTGCCAAGGATCAGCTTCCGGAAGGGTTCGCAGAAGGTCAAGAAGACGACTGAAGAAACACAGATGGAGAAGTCAGAGACGATGGAGAGTCATGAAGAGTATGACCAGACAGATCTACCTTCGAGGTACCGGCGGAGAAAGCCTGACGAAAATCAAATCAGGGCAATCAACAGTGGAGGAGCAGAGTGAGGCCATCCTTTTAATAAAACTTGGGTATATATTTTTTAATATGCCTTGTCAAATTAATATAGTGCTGTATCTTTCATAAAATAAATAACGTCATTAACTCTAAGTATATATTGTATTGACTATTTAGGTATATATTGTTTCCATTACCTTATAATCGATAAAGACCTTCATGTATGATTTCTTTATATATTTCTTACGAAATAGACGTACAGATCGTAAATCATCCAATGACAATTATACGAACTAAGCAAAAATCGAAGGCTTTGTTTTATCAATAGAGTAACACGATTGTACCAAGTATTTAGGAAATTTGAAAGCTTATTAAGTTAATTCGAAGTGAACTCAGTGATCTAGCTTTCAAGGATTAATACACTCCAAATCATTGTGGTATTTTCAAGTAGGGGAAAATGATATGATAAAAAACATTGAATATGGTTTCTCCGGTAGGGCTCAAGAGTCTCGCAACAGTCTTGCAGTTACATATTAGCCTATTACTAAAGAGATATTATTGTAATTTTTCAGATAGAGGAAACCTAACTAGGTCCTAATGAAAAATTGGAAGAGTTAAATGCAAAAGTATATTGGTTATACAAATTCTTTACATACAGTAACTAAAACTGTCAAATATTAGTAACAAAAACGTATAATTCACAAAAACAGTCTTGCAAAGTGCAAGACCAAGACCGATTTTGGGCAACACTAGCTACGGCTCATAATTTTCCAATTGTTATCCAGTAGAGCTGGTGTTTCACAAGGGAGTGTCTTGGGAACCGTTCTCTACATCCTCTTCAATGCTGACATCGCTATGAATCCCAAAACCTTATTAGTAGCAACTTTTGCTTAGGATACCGCCATCCTGTCCTCCCACTCAGACTTGTAACAGCATTCCAAAACGACTGTAACAATTGGCACATCTAAGTCAATGAATCTAAATAAAAACATGACACTATCACCCATTCCTTTATCAATTCAATTCCTCTTCCCTATCCAGAGAACCGATTCAAAAGACATGAGCTTAATCCACGATTTGTCAAAGTATAGACTATTTAAAAGGACATCAATCAATCGAAAACAAACTATTAATCTATAAAACCATAATTAAACCTAATTGAACTATAGGTAGCAGCTAAATATTCGAATATCAGAGGTTTCTAATCCTTCCAGTCCAAAGCATTTGGAACAATAGGCAACGCTCCATTTTATGTTACAAACAAGAAGTTACTTTATGACCTCAACACTCCATTTTTCATTGATATCATCGCATCATTGATATCAAGCTTTCGTCAAACCTTATCCATTATACAAATCTTTTAGCACAATCCTTATTCAACTCTAATCAACATTCCTCATAAGTTAAAAAGGCTAAGGATAAAAATATGTCTTTGGCTTCTTCTCTACTCAAGTTCTGAGCGTCTGTAGCTCTAGTGCTCTCCTTCCATCTCCACTTTCTTCCAATACCAGTGACGCGGCTGCGAGAGAAGCACTGAGATTTCCTGGAGTCCTGCTTTACCTCCCATATGTGTAGGTCAAAGCTTGGTTAGGATTTCCCTGGACAAATTTAAAGTATGTATGATATAGCAGTATCTTTGAACTATTCCATAATCGTGTCAATGCTAATTGACGATTATTACAGGTTATGAATTTCAACTTTGCTATTTCGAATTATTTCCAAAAGTATATATACATAAATACACTTTATCTATAAAGACACATGTTCATACACATTGCTCATAACTTGAAAACTATTCATTTTTGGAATAAATTCTGATATATATTATTTTAAATTATTTGAAATTTTTATACTAAAATGGCTGCTTCGAAGCGATTTTTAAAGTGATAATAATTCGAAATCTAATCTCGGTATGAATGTAAGGAAGTATGTATTATGCTAGTAAGAAAGACGTTGCAATGAATTAATAGAGATATAACGATATGTTTTTCATATCAAAATAAATATTTACAATATAAAATATACAGCTTAAATCGTAAATAATGAACTTAATGAGACCATGTAATTTTGTGCCTAGTTGGCGGTGTCCATTAGATTCAATATATCGCTTATAATGAACAGCTGTTGCTGAACCTCATATCCAATGTGTAAATATGTGTGTAGAGAAAAATTTAAAATTTCCTTAATCATAGCTAAAAGCAATAATTTTTCAAGTTTTCTTTTTTAGAAATTTAAGAATTCTGGTTGAATAAACCTTTATTTATATAGTTTAAAAGTTGGCCTATTCATTTTTTTTCTTAACCTCAGCAATATAATAACCATAAATAGTATGAATTACAAGATGAGAAAATTGATGCGTTAGACGCCTTCTTCTGTAACTCTATTACATTATAAGGCCATACAACATAAGTGTGTTACTATATAAGACCTTATAATGGTAGGTATAAAGTGTTTAATTCTTTTTTTTTATACATTATTTGTTTCATATTACAATAACGTGATGGTGAGTGAAAGTGCTCCAATTGTTTGTGTTTCTAGCTGTCATGTTTGGAGTTTTTTTATTTCTCGATTAGCACTATAGAGCATGTTGATATTTGGCCGCGAGAAGTGGTTTTCTTACACGAGTTCGCGTCCCGGTGCCCGTAGGAGTTTTTAAATCCACGCCCACACTTCCTGGCCCGGGAAAACTCCCGTATAGCCTTAGAGGAGAGGAAGGGGAGGAAAAAAAAGTATCCTTCCCACAGCTTCACTCGGGTTCAAGGACAGTGAAAAATCGGTCTAGATCCCTGGTTTATGACTGCTCAGAGTCAGCAGACACACAAGGGCCTATATTTCTTTATCTGAAATGGAACTCTACAAACCAAATCGCAAGATGGCAACTGCATGCTTAGGTTTGGTCGGACGCCGTGTTGGAATATAGTATTACCATTTTATACAATATAAAATGTGTCATTAACTGTTCCGTAGTATTTCACCTGAAAGATTTCAGAGGACTGAAGATTTTGTAAGTTATAATAAGATTTCCACTGTAGTTTCTTTCTAATAAATAAATGTTCCTAACATCAAATGCATTCAATCCTTTCGGTCCAAAGTCCTTCGAACAATAGTTGATGGGTGTATTTAAGTTATTTTGAATAGTTTAGTTGTTTTTGTTTTTTTACTTTAGTTTACATAAATTTACTTTTAGTATTATTATTTTGCTGTTTATTTATTTTTATTCTACATACGGATTCTACAGCATCATGATATCTCACATCCTCTCAGACATCATGATGGTTACTGGACAAAGTCAGATGCACAAAAAGAGCAATTGTTTGCTCGCCATCTCGAAGAAACATTTAAACCTCATAATGACATAAATGACGTACTCTCTACTAAATTGTTCAAAGTCACCTTAACGTGCCCTTACCTATGACATTACCACCAAAATCAATTCATCCTTACGAAGTTCAAATTTAATTCAGTGCTTACCTATGAACAAAGCTCCAGGATTTGACTTAATTACGAATTCTTCATAACAAATTTACCTTGGAAAGCAATTCTTTTTCTAACAAATATATACAATTCTATTTTGAGAATCACACATTTCCTCACCCTCTGGATATATTCTGAAGTTGTCATGGTCTTAAAACCAAATAAATCCTCAGACTCTCCAAATTCCTATCGTCCGATCAGCCTTCTTCCTTTCTTTTCTAAATTATTTGAAAAAAAAATATTCTTAGTCACCTTGATTATCTCGATATATTTAAATTTATTCCAAATCATCAATTCGGCTTCAGAAAGCATCATTCAACTGTTCAACAATGTCATCGATTGGTAGATTATATTTCTAATCCTTTAGAATCCAATGATTATTACCCTGAAGTTTTTCTTGAAATTAGTCAAGATTTCGATAAAGTTTGGCATGAAGGATTGTTTTCCAAACTAAAAATTTTACTTCCTCCGACCTACTATCTAATATTACTATCATATTTAACGGATAGACATTTTGTTGTTAAAGTAGGGACAGAACGTTCTGACATTAGACCTATTAAAGCAAGTACCTCAGGGTAGTGTCCTTAGACCAATATTGTTTAATATATATATATGTCTGACCTACCGGAACACAATGACACAACACTGGCTACTTTTGCAGACGATACCACAATGCTTAGCTCAGATAAAAACCCTGTTCAAGCATCTACCACTCTTCAAAATCATCTGAACGATATTGCAGATTAGGCCACAAGGTGGAAAATTAAGATGAATGAAAAAGAAAGTGTGCATGTAGTATTCACTCTTGACCATAAACCTTCATCTGAAATATATTTTAATAAGATTAAAATCCCAACATCAGATGTAATTAGGTATTTAGGTTTTTACCTGGACAAAAGACTTCCTTGGAGGACTCACATCAGAAAAAACGAATAGAATTAAACAGACGATACGGTCTTTTATCCAGATTACTTGACTGACGTTCAAAATTATCTTTAACTAACATACTAACCTTTTATAAAGTTTTACTTAAACCTATTTGGACTTACGGCATAGAACTGTGGGGTTCTGCTAAAACTTCCAACATTAAAAAAGTTCAGCCCTTTCAGTCAAAAGTGTTGCGAAGGATAGTTGACGCACCGTTTTATGTCGCAAATGATACACTACATAAAGACTTAAACTTACCTACAGTTTTAGATACTGCAAAAGAGAACTACAATAACTTTCACCAAAGACTGACAACATGAATCTCCTGACAGAAATCCTTCATCGCACAAGAAACCCGGACAGCCCACTACAACGATTACGTAGGCGTTGGCCAAGAGACCTGCTGATCTGATTTATTTCCCGGACGTGATGGGAAGCTGTGAAGCTGCCAAAAAATTTGCTCATTGCAAAGAAATTTGCAGATTGCAAATTTAATCTAATATTATACATTTTTGTTTTGGTTAATAAATAAATAAATTCTACATAGTGTGAATGAGCTAATCTTATACCACTATTACTGTTGTCCTTAGATGTGACAGATTGTAATATATCTCAATAAAGAATTTTCCAAAAAAAAAAAAAAGTTTCTTGGTGGTCTCCAAGAATAGTAGCTCGGAATAGTATTTAGGGAGAGTCCAATTATATTAATCAACAAAATAAATGTATAATAAATGAATTTAATTAATGAACTGATGATGTATAGAATTCCAAATATTTTCATTATTAAAATTAAAAATATTGGTACTATGTTATAATATGTCACT